GCAAGTGGAGGCAAAAGTGACTGCACCCAAAACAATAAACCTGCTAGCTAACTAGCCTAAACTCAGTAACAGCCGCGCGACCTCTGAGTCAGACGTCAAACTATACAAAAACGCCTTTACGCTTTGGAGCTTGTTTATCCATCTGTAAGCAACTGCCAGCTAGGTCTCTCAGTCACTCACTCCTGATCGTTCACTGCACAGTGACAGCTGCTACGGGCCTGATGTGTGAAATTGAAACTGATAGATAGAACAAAGGTAGCCTATCAAAACGGCCCAGCCCAACACTTACAAATGTGAGCCGGTAGGATTCAGGCAAAAAAAAAAAGAACTTTTTTTTTTTTTTTTTAAATATTTAAAAAAAAAAAAATAGTTGTTGGCCCTCTGGCCCACACACAGCACCGGCCCACCGGGGAAACTCCCGGTATTCCCAATGGCCAGTCTGCCCCTGGACACTGTGGAGCAGGAAACAGAGAGCCAAGCAGAGGGGGGAGAAAGTCAGCGGTTGGCCAAAGTTATGGAATGACAGGGGGGATGGAGGGAGGAGGAGGAGGAGGCGCAAAGGCGAATCAGATGGAAAGACGGAGAAAAAGGAGGAGTGTGGTGGAGTAAGGAGAGACCACAAGAAGAACGGGATGGGTTCTTGGTGGACAGCGCACTCCAGTTTCAAACCTCAGCCGGAGTGAGCGTACTAAGTGAGTCGAGGGAGGAAAAGTTGCAACAAGAAGCAGCAACAGATACATTCAGGAAGCAGCAGAGAGAGGAAAGAAATGGAAAAATATGTGTGGAGGAGGTAGACGCCAAGGGAGGTTTCATTCCCCACAGCTCCTCTCAGTTTATCAGGATTTCCCTCCCTGGACGCTGCTGCTCTAAGTGCCTTCTCTACAGGGCCATACTCTTCCATATCGGGACCTGGATTTGGACAAACAGTGAAGTGGACACAATCAGACGGGAACGCTGCGTTGAAAGTTGAAGTATTTGTGGTCAATTCATGTCTGTCCTTTGAGGTTTTAAGTAGGCCAAGGAATTAGTGACAGAATCAGCATTATTAGGCTGTATTGGTAAATATTTGATATATACTTGTTTTTTTTAGACAACAGAGACTGTTCTATGCACTTTTCCCTTTGCATGAAAAACTGATTTTTGTATCTAGCCTGACAGGTCAGTTTTTAAAGCATTATCTCATCCTGAATATTGTTGAGCGGATGTCGCTAAAACCACAGAGTCAGAGTGTTCCCTGCCTGCAGATAGAGATAATCTACAGTATGTTTTGTTTAGTTTTTTGCTCGTGGTTGGTGCAAATAATGAGGTGAATTATTATTAATGACTAATGTTGTTATTGCGTTTATGGCATGGAAGATGAGAAGACTCTGGTATTGCCTGTCCTGTATTTCATCAAGTCAGTTGTATGCGCCAAATTCTTAGCTTTTTCTCAAAAGACGTTTTAAACTGAAACCAAGTTGTGATTCAGGAGAGTAAACTATGACGTGAGGACTGATAATAGCTGTTTAGATTAAGAGGTGAGCAGTAACTTGTGTTTTTGACTTTGCTCCTGAGACTGCGTGCAGGAGCAAAGTCTAGAAAGTGAGTCTAAACGTCTCCTTTAATGCACCGTAATAAATGGCTTGTGACACAACCCCCGTTTTCCCTCATGGGTCTAGAGAGGGAAGTTTTCCATATATGTCGGCTTCCACATATTTTCCACTTCAGCATCAGTGTTGACATTACAGCAGCCTTCGTCCAGCCTGCTTGGCCTCGTTCTCATGTGCTCTCCTGGGCCTGGAAACAAACCCATGCCGTCACTCCCCAACCAGACTTGATTCCTGTCACTTGCTGGGCCCCCTCTGTTGAAAACACTTGTTGTTGACTGGCCTGGTCTAGCAGTGCTCGTGCCGGCCCAGGCTCCCTCTCCTCTCTCTCCGGGGCCAGGCCTTCTGAGGCAGGCTTGGCCCTGAGTGGGCCCCCCCACCCGGGAAGCCATGGGGATCCAGGGCATGGAGCTGTTTGCCATCGGCGTGGTCATCATCCTTTTCATGGCAGTTCTCAAGCAGTTTGGCATCTTGGAGCCCATGTCCTCATTTGAAGGTAAGGGCCCATCTGAGCCCACTATGATGACTCACTGCTGTCTGCTGTAGAAACACTATATAGGAGTTAATAGAAGGCTTATAACACACTATAATTGATTTGTTATGCAAAGAGGAGGATGTATCAAGATCCAATAAAATGTATATTATAAATCCTTAATAAAAACTGGTTTAATTTAAGGTTTAAGTATGTGGTCATTCAGTATTTATATATCTGCTAATAACTACAATAGTGTCTTTATAATCTATTTATTTATTTACAAGTTCATATACTGCCTTCCATTGGTAAATACAGGGCTAGAGTGAGATAAAAGTTATAACATTTACATTTTATCTATTAAACCTGCAGCTATGTTTTTTATACTACAGTTTTGGTAAAACAAATAACATAATGTTGTTACAAGATGAAGTTCCTACTATTACTTTTTAAGATAATACAGTTCCTAAAAAACATTGAATTATCTGAAAGTAGCATATATTTTATGTTATAATTTATTATTCCTTATTTTTAAAGCCCATACAAGCACTTATTATGGTTTAAATATACCCTAGGAGAGATCTTTGGGAAAGAGCTAGTGCTTCGACCAATGTGACCAAGTCATTATCTTTCCACTTTGCCTTCCATACTAAAGTAGTAGCTAAAGTAACGTTTATTTATATTTCCCTGTCTAGATCATACATCACAAGATGCTTCACACTAAAGTGAGTCATAAAGTACATACACAATATGAGAGTAATACATTAAACAAAGATTGGGCGTGCAGGTTTGAATGGCTAATTTAACATCTGGCCAACAGGGACAACATTTGAAAATGTGTGTTTCAAAGTTGATCTTCAAGAATAAATTAATACAAAAATAAATGAATTGTTTCCAAGGTGTCTAGTAAGCTGACGATGTAACCTCAATGTTTTTACAGCTCTCTGTGCTCTGTCCCCTCATTAACCTGTCAGCTCTCTACTATGTAATAAGTAAACATAAAGAAACAAAAATGTATATAGTATAACTATAGAAACATGTACGTACTTTTTTAGTATGCTCAAGCATGAAAGTTATGTTTTTATCAGAAAAAGCACCAGAGTGGAAAAAGGTTAATGGCTAAGTGTTTTATTTTGCCTACAAAGAAAAATACCAAAAACCCTTGATGGGCCACTTGACAGTGTAGGTTTGGGACAGTACCAGAGACATCAGATGCTTTTTGAAAGCTACGCTCTTTGATTAGAGGTTTGGGCTGAAGGCCAGCCAGTCAGAGTGCCCTGCAGCTGCTGTGCCAAGACAATTACAGCAGGAAGGCTCCCGCCAGCACATTAGTGCTTCTCGTATAGTTCTGCATCATAAGTAATAAATTCAACAAAAACACAAGTAATGTCCTTTCATAATTTATCACTCTTCTCAAACCTTCCAACTTTATATTCCTCCTCCTCCTCCTCCCACTGTGGCACTGCCCACACCCTGGTTTAGCATTACTTCACATCAATTATACATGCAGTATCGAACAGGCTTTCTCTGAGGCCGCCTAAATATGGAGCCTGGAGTACTCCTCCAGGATCCTGAAGGACAAAATACTCAACATGCATCTTTAATCCTTTAATTACTTCATCCTTTCCCAGTGAGAGTCATCTACTGTCTTCATTATCTCTTCAGCATCTTCTCATTAACATTTTAACTGTTTGGCGGCAGATATTTGATATATTTTGTCCCTCAAATGTTCAGCTGCCTGCATTACAATTAGAGAAAAGTCACTCGTAGGACCCTCACGATTTTCAGGATTTACAAGTCCAGATGTTGAGCTCTTTGTTTACCGGAATTTGTGAGAATTAGATTATAAACACAGCCCTGCTATAAATATAGAAATGTTATCGAGACTCACGCTGTGGTGCAGATTCGGGTCTGCTGTCAATTTCAGATCTTTCTTGTTGAGTCTTTAAAAAAACTGTTACATTTGCAAAAGGGTAGAAGATCAATGAACGGTATAAAACCCAAATATTTTTATTTTATAATGTCAAACTAAGAAAAGTGGTCAAAGTGTCACACCAACTAAGCTGAAATCAAAAGTTACTGGGAAAAAATACACAAAAAATAAACAGGATGATCAACATGATTGCCAGGTATTTGTCAGTTGGTAATTTTATTGATATATTGATTAAATGTTTACATATCATGTACATTTATACATCCTATTACTCTTATGTATCTACAATTTCATAATAGCAATGTAATGGATTAAGTAGAATTCAGTATTTAGGTTTGACTGACCAAAAATGCTGTGTTGAAGAAGTGACTGACTGAATCAGTTCCAAAAAGTTGTGTGGGCTCTTCCGGCTTTTGTAGCTTTCTAAAAAGAAAAACAGACAATGGAAGATAGTAAAAGTACTTTACTGTCCATTGAGGAAAACTCAGCTATAGCCCCACCTCTCAAAATAACAACAATTGTTCTAGCAGAGTAGTTTTATTTGTAATAAGTTTAACGCATGTCCGAAAGACAATTTTGATTCTGTGCTCTCAGATTTTCCACTTTTAGCATAAACATCGGCGCATTAGATGTATTTTATTCACCAACAGCCCAATCAAGCCTGGTAGCTGATATGGTGCATTGGTCATCAGCACTCAAGACACAAATTGTTGATGATAAAAAATGTGTGTGTTTGTGTTTGGTGTGTGTGTGTGCACGTGTTTGATGTTCAGTTAAATGGTCTGTCGCTGATGTCTCAGTCAGGTCTGCTCGGATGTCGATTTTGGGATCAGTCCAGCTCGCTCCTATTTTGGGGAGAAATGTGATGCCAGCGGTAGCCTCGTCTGTAGAGATGTATCCTGAGGTGGTCTGATAACAACATCTGGTATTTTGACCCCGCATTTGACCCTCTCGTGTAGGATATTTTAGTAGTGAGTAACATTGATATACTATAAAGAGACGCGGAGGAAATGAGTAGTTTCTTTATTTATTTGTGGCTCTTTCCATGATTGGTACATGGAATATTCCATCCCATTCCATTTTGTTCTACTTTATGCTTCTATACACGTCACTGGCTAGTATTTTATTTCACAGTTTTTATTTGACAGCTTTATTACCTCAAAGATTGAAATTAAGATTGATAATACCAAGTATAATCATCAGGTAAAATAAAACATTGTTATCTCTGGTTAAATTCACAAGCTGCCCTGCAGTAAACAAAGTGAGCAAAATATCGAACTCACTCTTACTGGTGAGCCACAAGTGCATTTAAGTGTATTTTGATGAATTTCTTTTCAGAATTAGATTTTGAATGCAGGACTTTTCAGGTCATTTTTTGTACTTTTGTTATTTTTGAGTTGACTTCGACTTGAGGATTTGAAATTATTACTATAAATAAATAAGTCAACTAATAAACTATTAAAGTATTGTTATAGGTTAACCTAGCAGTATATAAAGTAAATAAAATATGCCTCAAGCAACAACATACAAGTGATGTACACATAGATGCATTGATGATTACAATCTTCAATCACAGCAGCCTGCTGAAGGAGCAGCAGTAACTGATTTATAGACTTTTTGTGTACCACAGAGTCCCCCAGCCCGTATTAGCGGGGGCTGTACATCCTGAGAGGAATTCTGCAGGTAGATCTTAGGGCTGAAAAAAATACGGTTTACTCCTCTGAAAGTGCAAAAAAAAGGATGAGCATCTATGTTGATATTCTCCTAAAAGATGCTCAAAGTAGTGCTCTATGTCACCTCACCAAACACATCAGCTCTCTAAAAAATGTAACTAGTCATTTAGTTAAATCCATCTGTCTGTCTATAATGTATCTGTCTTTCTATTGGTACAGTTTATAATTGGGTACATTTTTCACGTGAAGGGTGATTCTGTCACCGTTAGGTCATTGCATCCACAGAGCAAAGGACCTTAATGGTGAATAGAGAAAGTGATACATGTTTTTCTATGATGAGGTTCCCTGTTCAAACTACAAGGTGTCTGTGCCTGTTGTTTCATTTGTCTCCACTAGAGGGAGTATTTATTACATGAGTGTGAGTGTGTGACACTATTGAATCTGTGTTAGGGACCCCAGGAGAGACGGGAACAATTAGAAAGTGGATCACAGCCTGGCTGGGAAAATTGGATTCAGGACACCTGTTATCTTTTCTCTCTGCACTCTCCGGTTTCTTAAAACAAATTGTTTTGTGTGTGTCACATTTAGAAAAAAAACAATCATCTCTGTTAATTTTGCCCATTTAAAGCGTCGGTGTTTATGCCTTTCTGTAATGTATCAGTTAGTTTAATGGGACATGTAGAAATGCAGCTGGTTCCCCGGGTGTTCACAGGTTAATTAGCAGAAAATAAGATGTGAGATGGAGGGAGGGATAAGAGGAGGAAGCTGCAGAGCATCACTCAATCAATCAGTGGAGGATGTTGGATGCTGTGTTTTTATTTAAGAGCTTTGTCACCAAGTAGAGGAGGTATCTTCTTCAGAGGGACCCCAAATCAACTTGTTCTTATAACCTGCATGTGTGTGTCTGAGCTTCATCTCTTTCCCGTTGGATTTCCCATGGATTAACGATGTAGTCCAGATTTTTGGAAGGGATTTTCTTATCCCTCTCTTTTTTTAGAGATATTTTTACTGCAGTAATCTGTTGGCCTTATAAAGGAGTTGGACGCTCAGACCATGCTCTTAGCTGCGGAGAATATCCTGAACGATCCACAAGAGTAGGAGAGAACACGAGGGGCAAGAAAACGGCAGTCAATTAAAAATAGGCAGAGTTAAATGGAGCGACAGAAACTGCAGGGAAAAAAATGAGACAGAAAAGGAGTGATGAGTGAGTGACATTGTTTCAGAGACAGGAGGAGGAGAGCCGAGAGACGGATGGACTTTTAGAAAGTCCAAGTATGTAGTAAAAAGGGAAAGAAAGAGAATAACCATGGAGGGTCCGACAGAAGGAGAGGGGAAGATGATTGTGAGGTGGGAGACAGAGGGACTCCAGACTGTGGGCATCGTCTGCCTGGTGATCATGTTCCTCAAACTGATGCACCTGCTGGGCCTCATCGACATCACAGAGACCGGTGAGACGGGACAGGAGGAGAAGGGAGCGAGGAGGAGGCTGGACTTACATTTGTTTTACTCTTATCCACTTAGAAGTATATGTTTGTGAATGTTTTTGATGCAAATCTGAGTAAACTGTGACCGTAGTAGTTGGTGAAATTCAACAAGAGTTCATATAAAGCTCTCTGATCATCTCGGATCATGTAAAAGGCTACTATAGAAAAACCGATATGACTTAAAAGGGATGATAATAATAATAGACTATTTGTTATTGTCAGCAAATCCCATGATCAGATACTCCTTCCACTTCTTCATCTGAACCCTATACTTATTTTAAGAGGTGTATTGTTTAAAATGTTAAACAAACAGGAGCGTCCCAAACTAAATTGTTTATTTATTGGGAACTATTTCCAGATAGGATTGAACACATCTTTAGTGCTCTAGTGAGTATTGACAACACCAAGGGCCCATTTTACGCAAATCTTAACTTAAGGTTCAAAGAGTTTTACATGTTTGAAGATGATATGTTAAGGCCAACATTGAATGTATGACCTTTTATGTTCCACGGCGGGCTACCTTTTTCATTTTTGAAGGAGGTCAGAAGGTCGTCTCCTGCTGTCTGCTTCCCGCTGATCTCCACACGATCCAATATCAAGAAATCTTTAAACTTCCTCTCCTTGGTTTTTATTTTTCACACAAGTATTGTATCTCACTGCTCTGCTGGAGGTTTTATCAGAATATAACTTGATCAGTATTTTACATTGGACCGCTCAGCGTGATCTGACGTGTTTTCTTTGTTTTTTCTTTTCTTCCTCTTACTATCGCTCTCTTACTGTTCTCCATTTACTCTCTTTCACTCCATCTTGGTTTCAACACCCCTCCTCCTCCTCCTCCTCCTCCTCCTCCTCTGTTCTCTCTGTCTAAAGATGGTGAGTATAGTAACAACACCAACTTTGAGAACACTTCTCTCCCCCCTTTTTTGAATGGTTCCTTTTTTCCCACTCGTAAAGTACTTTCTCTAAGTGTGTTGAAACCAATTTGATTTGAGTGGCTCGTTTTTTAAAGCAGACAGATCAACATTTCCACCACAAAGAAAGTGCCTCCTCTTCTTTTTTTACTCCCCTTCTTTTCCCTCTATAGTTTTTTCTAAATCTCTCTCTTACACTGGCACGTTTTCCCCACCTGCTCTTTAACAAATGCCTCTCTGTTGAATGTGTGATCCCACCCCTCCCCGAATGTTGACCTGCATCCACACGCTGAATTTCTGCCCCATCCTCCCCTCTTTTTCTCTCCATCTTTCTCCCTCTACATCTCTTCCTGTTTGTCTGTCTCTTCCTCCCACAGACAGCAGCGACAGTGACCTGGAGCTGTCTACGGTGCGTCACCAGCCGGAGGGTCTCGACCAGCTGCAGGCTCAGACCAAGTTCACCAGGAAGGAGCTGCAGTCCCTCTACCGAGGCTTCAAGAACGTACGTCCTCTTCATGGCTTTACCACCATTACTAGGCTTTATATAGACTTGGGTTATTCTGCATATATCTTCTTTTTCTTCCTCTTTTGAGCAGGAGTGTCCCAGTGGGCTGGTTGATGAGGAGACATTCAAGACCATCTATTCTCAGTTCTTTCCCCAAGGAGGTTAGACGTTAAAACAATCTCTCTTCTTTCTGTCATTTCTTCTTAGGGACTGTTTGAAAATGACTTCGGATGATGTGGGGAAGAGAAGGTTTATGTGTTATGTCTTGGTCTGAAATATTTAGGAAAGAATATTTTCTCTCAAACTCTTCATAAGATTTACTGTAAAAATACAGTTATTTGATACGGCAATATGCTCATTGGTTATCAGCCTTATACTGTAGATGTAGTTCAGAAGGGGCCTGCTACACAAATACAAACTAGTAATTATGACAGGAACAGAAGTGGAAGTCATTTGACATAGTATAAAAGACACTGATATCTCCGGTTTAACTGACAGCATTCGTGTGTGGATAAAGTAGAGTTAATCCATTTTGTACAAGTAAAACTTCTACATTTTAAGAAATGGCAGACGTAAAAGTAGTGTAGTTTTACAAAATAAGGGGACTAAAATAATTTGGTAAGGCATCAAGATTACAATAAGTAATTTGAGCTGTCAAATAGCTGTGATCGAGTGAAAGTAAGATATTTCCCTCTGACATAAATACAACTTTTTTTGCGCACAGATGCCACAACCTACGCTCACTTCCTCTTCAACGCATTTGACATAGACAGAAACGGTTCAATCCGCTTCGAGGACTTTGTCATCGGCCTGTCGGTGCTGCTCAGAGGATCAGTCACCGAGAAGCTCAACTGGGCCTTCAACCTTTATGACATTAATAAAGACGGCTACATCACCAAAGAGGTTTGTTTGGGACATCTCCAGAATTTTAACAAAATCCAGGAAATTGTGCATGTTACAATAACATCCATGCTTCTCCTTATTACTTAATGCTTTCTGACTGAGCTGTATCTATCATGAGAGATCCAATGTTTATTCCTGACTTCTCTCTGCTTTTGTCTTCTCCTCATCAGGAGATGCTGGCAATTATGCAGTCTATCTACGACATGATGGGGAGGTACACTTACCCCTGTGTGCGAGATGAAGCACCCTCTGAACACGTGGACAAGTTCTTCCAGGTCCTGAATGCACACCAATTCAAAACACACACTTTGCTACAACACTTCTTTTTGAAAATAAAAAAGACCCTTTAAATTATTTTCTCCAATGTGTCCTCTGTCTGTGTATTTCTCCAACAGAAAATGGATAAAAACCGAGATGGAGTAGTGACCATTGAGGAGTTCATTGAGACCTGTCAGAAGGTGATGACTTAAACTGTATCTATGTCATACATCAATTAAAAGTGTAATGTCTAAGATTGTAAATCTGAAACTTCTCTACTTCAGACTTTTGGTGACAGATGTTTTTCTGCTTGATTTTCCAGGACGAGAATATCATGAACTCCATGCAGCTGTTTGAGAATGTGATATAAGGGAACCCTCCTGCACAAGACACTAATACAAAGCGCGCCCACCTCAAACTCACCCTGGCACATAATGTAGGTACTCTAAAGGCATAGGAACTAGACTTTTTTTTCTTTCTATGTCTCGCTACGCTCCTTTCGCTGTATCCTGCAAACTGCTTCTGGATTGAAAAGACTGATACGGACAGAAGAAGAGAAGAGCTTCCGGGGAAAAAATTCCCCATCTGTCAAGTGTGTTTTTGTGTCCTAAATGAAGAAAACTGAAAATCTTCCCGAGATTTATCGTCAGACCAAAATAATCAACAAGATATGGAGATGGTCACAATAATCCTCTGACCTGAGCACACAAGGATATGAGCTAAAAGCACTAATCTGTCTCTCTCTCACACACACACACACACACACACACACACACACACACACACACACACACCAACACACATAAACACACACAAACCTCCTGTTTCCTCAAAAGTCTTTAAGAACCAGATGAAGTGAACTAGTAAGTTAAAATTAAATCAAGAAAAAAAGAGAGAAATAATGTAAAGCATGTTTGTCATCAAATATGTGATGTGGAATTAGCTTGCACTACAGTTTTATGACTATGTATCATATGCGCCTGAAGTAAAGACACTGTATATACCTGCACCTGAAACACCACTGGTGTGTATGTATATATGTATAGTTAATAGTTATAGATAGATATATATCCCACCTTGTATTGTTCTCATCTGTGCTGAACCGGGTGATAAAACAGGACCTGAACGTTTTATTTATTTGAGGAATTTCTGTTTAGTAGCAGTTTTTCGCTGATTATACACATTTTTCCTTTTTTCTATTTTGGAAGTTTATGTTTAGCTGGTCAAATTGGAAATGTGAGTTTGTATGAAACAGTGAAGAAACAAAATGACTGTTAAACGTTTCTCCTTACTCTGAATTAAGGCTTTCTCCCTCTTTTTCAGTATCTACAAGCATGCTGACTCTTAAGTGCCACAGTATTGTGTTCAGTACAGTAGGACCTTTGTGATGTCGGTTTATTAAAGACACTGTCAACAGCTGCGACTTCTCTACATTTCTCTTCTGCATTCAGATGGCGAGGCGTCAAACATTGTGATGAATAATCTGACATTAACCCTTATAATCCCCGGCCAAAAGCTGTTTTCATTTGTCAGCCCAACAAAATCTAAAACATTTTCTTTTTCGGACTTACTATGGCTGATTGATGTTAGTAAATGCATTTGTATAGACTTGAAGACTAGAAGTTGAGATATGACAGCTCATTACAAAAGGCTAAAAAAACTAACCAGTTATTGAGTTTTTGTTGAAACTCCTAGCAACGAGGTGCTTCATAACCAATGTATAAAATAGAACACTATTTAAATATCAAAGATTATATCAGAGTCACTTTCACTATAATTACACCACGCCCCTTATCTTCATGGATGATCAACACCTAAAATATGAAAAATTCACTTAACCATTATAATGTTTTCTATCTCAAATGCCCATATGGACATTTTAAAAAGGGCATTTGTGTATTTCGAACCCTTGGCATGAAGTATGTGGGAGAAAGACTTGAAACTGATTTTGATTATCTTGATGAATCAAAACATTTAAGAAATAGAGACGGATTCCTTTTGATGTCAATAATTTTAAGTTGACCTGTTGCAAAACTGAATGTACCTTTTCCAGTGTGGGTGGCCTTTGCTTGATTTTGTATTCCTTTTTTTGGTTGTTTTTTGTTTAGTTTTTCTGTCTGGGACTATGTGTCATATACGTTTGTCTATGCTGCTGCCGGTCTTAGCAAGGTCTTCATTGTGAAGGATATTATTGATCTCAATGGGATGCTCACTCTTTATTGTTACAGTTCATTTTGCTCTTAAGGACCGGAGTTGTTGATAAGTCAGCAATATATCAATTCAGCAATATATCAATTAAAATGTTTTAATCTGAAAAGATTTTAAAAAGCTTGCGAGCAAGTGAGACATGTGAGTATTCATGCACGTGTACAGTTCAAGTGATACCCTTGTGAAAAAACACAATTTACTGCTGCAGCTCCTTTTGTGTTGAATGTCTTTGTATTGTTGACTTAACTGTGTGACATATGAACATTTTACATTACATGATACTTGTTAGACGCTTTTATCCAAAGCGACTTACATACTCAACACTGTGGACAATTCCCTCAGGAGCAATCTGGGGTGAAGTGTCTTGCCCAGGGACACAACGACATGCTGAATGCAGTGGGGTTTGAACCTGTGCTCCCCTGATCCGAACACCAACGCACTATTCCACTGCGACACACGCCTCCCATACGCATTGTGCTAAAAAGATCACGGCCCGCAGATAATCATGTTAGGCAGGTTATCGGGGAATGCGTATTTCACTGCAGTTACTTATTACAATTCACTATATAGACTTATTAATAATAATCAGTTTTATAACTTAAACCCAGAGCCCTCATAAACACTGTTAACCTGCAAAGGAAATGATTCAGTATTCAGTTATTTCCTTTATGTTTATGTCTTGCGAGTTACTAATAACTGGGCTTGTCCTTTACTTCTGAGAAACCAAGTGGCCAATACATTTAGTATTACAGCTTCTATAATAAACCTGTGCCCTTTAAGGTTGTTGATATGTTTTTTATAATCCAAATGTGCATTTCATTAAAACACTATAATCCATTACCATGATACAAAGTTATTTGTGCTGTAAAGTAGATTTTCCTACATTGTAATGTACTCGAGCAGGAGCATTCTTGGTTCTGAGTTCAGTAATCCCAACCCCTCGCGTGTGTTTATTCCTCATGGCACATTTCTAATACCAAATGCCATGTTTTAAAAAAATGTCAACTCCTGTAACACTCAAATAATGGATAACCTTCTCTTTTGAACCACTAAAAGATAATAGATGAGAGATACTTTTGTGTTATCATCCCTTTATATACAGTGCAGAGGAAAAACATGTTTCCCACGATTCTCAATAAAAGAATGAACATCAGGTGAAAACAACACAATGCTAAAACAATTACAGAACAATATACAAGACAAGGTATGCAAAAAAAGCGTTATGTTCCCCGAGGAAATTCGAACGAACATATAGCCTACTACAGCCTCACCCCGCCGAAAATGTGTTTCTGGTTTCTACTTGTTGGTTTAATAACCGTTGTTATCCAACGTTGTGGCAAATGTATTATATCAGGGCTCGAGTTATGTAGGAGCCAATGAGAGCTAAGCTCTCAGGAGGGGTCTGAGCTCCCATGAAAGCACTCAAAGCAGTGAAATAATACATCTGTGGGGGTCGCATTACATACAAACATTATTTTAATCACAAATAATGCATGTCTCAATGTAATGAGTAGGCTATTATTTACGTTAACAATAACGGATCAGGATCTTATCGGCTTCGCTTTCCTTTTAACTGTACCAAAGGTCCGTACTGAACTTGGAAAAAGGGCGTTCAGTTACGCTGCCCCTCAAGCTTGGAACCTGCTTCAAACTGAGTTGAAACTCAGAGAGCTGGTCTCATTAAACACACTCAAAGCAACTTTAACTGACCTTGAAGCAGACCGCTGTCTGTAAATGCTTTGGCTAAACTTGGTGTATGACTGCGTTGTGATTGTATGTTTTTTTAATTGTCTGTAACTGTAAAACTGTCTGAAACTGTGCTGTTACCATTCTTGGGCCTGGACTCTCTTGACAAATAGATTTGTAATCTCAATGAGACCTATCCTGGTTAAATAAAGGTAAAATAAAAAATAAAATAAAAAACGAGGTAAATAGGCTAAAAATAAAAACACGTTTTCCAAAAGAACTACGCATCGTATTCTCTCTTGAATGACAATATGCCTGCACTTCACCTCAAAGGTGCGCAATAATTTATTGCGCAATCTATGCATGTGAGCGTGCTGCGTGAGCCGAGATGATGTGTTATGTGCGTATTGAACCTTTTCATAATAAGTTTGTAGCAAGTAGAGGGCGGGCTGCTGCTGCTGCTGTGTGTGTGTGTCTGTGTATATGTGTGTGTTTGCACGCGTGCACGCGAACCTTGTATTATGTATATCATACAAATATGCTGTGGAAATGCAAAAGGATTTACAAACACACAGCCATCAGATGGCGGTGTGGTGGAATACATCAGCATCTAGGCAGCACAGAGGATGGCACAAGCATAAAGAGCCCATTTCAATGTTTAAGGAGGTGGGTGAACCTGCTGGTTAAGTAACTGCACAGAAAAAAAAAGAAAAGCTTATGCAAGAAAGGTTAACAACATTACAAAAGCCGAGGAAGGCGCTGTCACTGACCATCCTCACAATGAGGAAGGGGCGGTTGCGTCACCGCTGTGCCGCCTCTGATTGGCTGAGTCTCAGTTCCAAGGCGGGGCGAGAGGAAGGCGCTTTACGTCACAAGTGGATGTGGGCATGCGTGAGGACGAACGTCAACCCCGTGTCTTTATGAAACGCAAAATCCCTCTGTGAGCAGCAGCTGTCTAAAGGAACCGGTTGGTGTAGGATAAGAAGAAGCCCGTCTCGGAAGAACCGGGCTAGAAGACGGTCTCATCTGTTCACCGCAGTCCGCCCAGCGTTGGTTATCCTTCGGCTACAAGCTAGCTGCAGCCTCCGCCTCCTCACCGTGCAACAACACACACCACTGGGACGAGCCGACGGACGTAACGTTAGCCGAGAAGGGAAGTGGGCTCCGGCTTCTCTTTCATCAGGCAGGTGAGGGCAAAACGTGCCATCTTTAATCCCATTATACACTGATATCACACATGTGGAGGTGTTGGGAAGCCGCACATGTAAAAGCCCCGGCTCTATGCTCACCGGCGGGAGATAACGAGTAAAGGTGAGAGATGTTCGTTACCGGAGCGACGGGCTGTGTGACCGTGTGTCGGTCTGTCTGCTGACGCCGGAGTGTGACCGTGAAACACAAGGCCTCATTACTCCTCAGTCGTCACCTTTACCCTATCTAAAACGACAAAATGTGGAAAAGAAAATAGTATTTTCAAAATACCTTAACAAAACATTGCTTATCTTTTTGTAGTGCGTAGCCCAACCGTCTCAAGGTTTACAAATCGACATGAGGGCTTTATTGTGTCTTTATATATGTATTATGACCTAATATATATATATATAGGAAGAATAATCGTGCATCACTTCAAATTCAAAGGTTGTATTGTCATATGCACAGTAGCTACAGTGTAGTTATGGCAATGAACATTAACCAGATTCAATGCAGCATTAATATATAAGACGTAACCATAACAATAGTGACCAATGTGCAGGTAAATGCTTAAGAAGTAACCTGTATACATGTAAAATAAGATGAGCTAAAAACAGAATGTAAATTGAATACTGTACACCTGAATAAAGAGTAAAATAACTCGCACCAAAATAATCCGAACTACTACAAATATCTGTCACTGTGTATAGTATGTATTATTCGAGAAAATGAAAATGTCAGGTGGGTGAAGAAGTGACAGTGATTACTATGCACAATGTAACAATTGAAGATAAATATATGAACTAATGCAGATTGTACATAAGGCAACCATAGCCAGCAGAAGAAGAAAACTGGGACGCCAGTGCTTATTTGGACATTAGGATTTATTGGCTCCTGATAATGTGGTCGTCCTGGAAACGTGTGTCTGTCTGTGTCATAGGCAAACGCATTATTATTGGAAGGGTAAGTTGAAATGCAAAAGTATAGAAGTAATTATGTCATGATGATGGATATAGACGGCAACGCTGTTTTCCAGTCCAGCTTCAACCAACTCATCGGCAAGTCCAAGTAATTAAGAACACTGCAGCCAGGGGCTTGAAGAAAACTTGAAAATGTCGAGTCACTCAGAAATTCATTTCATAATCTTCTACTTGATCTTGCTCTATAAATCTCTCTCCTCTGACCTATTTTATCATACTGGGCTGGCTTACTGGCTGCCCCAGGAGTTAGAACCAAAGCGGTTAACAGAGAATGTTGTAATCCTGCAACACAGACCTGTAACCAGCCCTGACTCCTTTTCCAATAAAGTAAAATCTAAAGAAGTTATGTTTTACAATAACTTCTCTATAACGGCTAAGAGCTTTTGTTTTTTAGCTTGGCTTTTAAATAACCTTTGTCTTATCTGGATGGTGAGGTTTTCTTCTTAACTTTTGTATATCTTGTCGGTACTTTTGTAACATTTCCAAAGTTTCTTGGAGAACAATAAACATATTGAAATGGGCAGTAAGCTACTAAAACATATTCTATAACGACAAACTTAATTGTGACACCAATGCTTATTTTGATCCCAGTCATTAAAAACTACAGGCCTGAATAAGGCCATTATAATATTATTTCTTAAACTATTAATCTAGCTTTAGAGCCCACAATTACCTTTTTTTTCTAACTTAATGGAGCCATTACAATGTTGTTTTTTTACACTAACATTTATCTTGAGTTTTGGTCTCAGTCGAGCAATTGTCCCACTGGCAGCTATAAAATGGGACATGCTTTGATACTGGTGTGATGACCATCATTGCACAAACAGTTATCTTTCACTCTATCAGTTAAACTCATTAATTAACAGCCTTCTAATCTTGTAAGTGACTTTTTAATTCATAAATCAAAATAAATGTTCTCTTTACTGGGACAATAAAAGCAATGTGAAAACCTGAAAATATCTTCAGTGTATGAAAAAGGCCTGGAGTTGATGACTGCTTAAAGTATTTGTATACCCTACAGGGCTCGAAGGTTGCCAGGTTGCCATTGGCAACCATTCAGAAAAAATGACCACTTCTTGGCCTTTGGTTGCCGTCAGTGGCAACCACTTTTGAACATGAAGAAATAAGAACAGCAAACAGCTAAATGTGCAACCCAAAATAGATAAATGTTAATTATGTGTTGTATTAAGAGTGATATTTAATTATTGTTGTGACCAGTCGGAACCTGATACTTAAGTTGCACGTGCATTGGTGTGATTACGGAGCCAGAAAGCAATGCACGTTTACTCGCGTGCGCGGTGCGCTGTGTGTTTGTTTTACAAAAAATAGCGAAGCAAAGTAAGTTGTTTGACTGTGGGGTAAAAAGTTTGGCCAACCCGTCAACATCTCAAACGAATGTTCAAAGTGATTCAACTGATAAAGCGCAAGATAAACCCGAACGAAAAGCAAAGAGGAAATGTGTAAAGTCTTGGGAGGCGAAATATTATATGTACGTTCTGCTTCGTTGTGCATTCACTTCCGGTAAAAGTTCCTTCAAAATAAGAGTCCCGATCTTATTACTACCAAAATAAAAGTGAAAAACGAAACTTTACAATAGGAAAATATTGGCATACAAATATAATCACTTCTATACAAAGGTAACACATTTTAAATATAGTTAGACATATTAAAGGTAATTTGCAGCATTAATAATTAATATCTAATTCTTAACTGTGAATGGTTTTAGAAATTAGAAATGTATTGGCCAATGACAGAACCACAATCCAAGACTTCAATGCTGAAGGGCCAATGGATCTGTGGTGGGGATCAGCACAAAGGTCAAGAAACCCACATTTGAAAGGGAGACAACGGATGACCAAGAAACTAGTGACTTGCTCAATTCATGTTTGAGGGATCTGTGAAGAACATGACAACAGCTGCACTCCTGGTATTTAGTATACCAGCAATTGAGGGTGGACAAGTTTACTACCACTTAAGTTTCAAATAATTGTGTTAATTACTTATTGTAAAGCATTTGAACATTCTTTTGTGTCACATTTTCATTATTAAGTTGATGTATAACTGTATAGTATCTTAATTATTTAAAATATAAGGTGACTAAAAATGGCAACTGTATTTTCAGTTTTGGCAACCAAAAGCTGATGCCTGGTTGCCAGCCTGGCAACCACTTTTAAAAGTTAGCGTTGAGCTCTGACCCTATCAACAGATGGTCGCCTCTATTGATTAATTTTCAAATTGTACCTTTGATCAAGATTTAGTAGGTTTCTTTTTCAATGCAGTTGAAAGGTTTTGATTGTTATTTGCGGCAAAACCTCTATTTTCTTGCATGCAAATTAGGTGTGTAACGGTTCACAGAATTCACGGTTCAGTACGTACCTCGGTTTGGGGGTCACGGTTTGGTACGGGTTCGGTACAACAAGAAAAAGCAAAAAAAAGTCCCAAATGCATAACTCCAGGTTTGTTTTTTGTTTTATTTTGAACAGTAGTGCAAGTTTCAGTTTAAAAATAAGGAACTCTAACATTAAGAATAATGAACTGTATTACACAGTTAAAAACAAACCACAGTACCACACACTCAGATGCCCATTATTATTATTATTATTATTATTATTATTATTATTATTATTATCTATAATGGCTGATGTCAAACAAAAAGGTTCAATAAGCTGTAAAACTAAAAAGAATGTCTTTTAAAATATTACAAAATAAATAATAAAGTGTTTCAAGGGCGCATAGCCGTTCAAATATATATGCCAATAGCCGTTATTTATTTTGGTCTCTCGGCTTTCATGTTTATTTGCTTCTTAAAAACAACATGGATAAGCTGTTGAACTGCTGTTGTCTTTTGCCGGACTCCGGTGATTGGCAAATTTGGGTGATGCTGATATGATTTTAGCATGTCCGATCCACCACTAGCACTCCATCGTTGTTGTAGTCCACAGGGAACCCGAAATGTTCCCACACAGCTGATTTAAAAGAAGCAAGTGGGTCTTCTAGCTCCTGTGTGTTATCTGAAATCGCCATACTAAGTTTTCTTCCTTTTGTATTTTGTTCGTTTTGTTGTGTTTTCTTCTTGTTCTTCATTTGTTGTTTAAGGGCGGCTGGCAAACAGCTTTTAGGCGCAATACTGCCCCCTGGGTTATATATAGTGTAATGGATACTGCCCTGAGTGACAGACTTTTTTCCCACTCATAAAAAAAGGCGTATTCGTCGTGTGACTGCATGTGCCAAATCTTGACATCCGAACCGTGACGGTTACCATTGCACCCCTAATGCAAATAGTTTCTGTTGCACCTGTGCCAGCTGTTTACAATGGACTCATGACTGGTAATCTTTACTGTGAAGCAAGACCAAAGTGTCTTCCAATCCCTATCTGCTTTATTTTAACCAAGTCAACCAGCAATATGTAATACCAGTATTCTGCACAACATTAAGCCTTAAATCTAAACAACTGTGAAAGAGCTTTTCATTCAAACTCAATATTAAGACAAAATAAAATAATATAACTATATATATATATATATATATATTATATATATATTTCCTGACTCAGAGTTGCTTAGCAGTTTCAGTACAAAGTACTTTTTATTATCTCGCCTAATAACTGTTGGAGCTAATCAAAGAACAATAATACGTTTTATTAGTTGAGTGTGCAGACAAGGACTTTTAAGTAGCTAACAATACAGTACAATTCCAAAACAAGCATTCAAATAAATGATGCCTGGTAATTGACTCTTCACTGTGTCCGATGTGTATGATAAATATAGGATTTTGACCCGGCGGACCTCAGAGGTGCAGTTGTCATGTAGAACAATACATATGATCATATGTAAAGCCTTGTAGTCACAGCTGATAACTCTAAGTGGTGCCAGACTGATCAGCTGATGGTTGTAAGGGTTTGAACACAAGTTGACATTACAGCCAAATGTGGATATAAGCCATGTATGACCACTAGTTATTTTACCAGCTATTAAGTACATTCAGACCTGTTGTGATTGTTTTTTGTAAGCCAGTGTGATGGTTGAACATCCAAAACAGAAAGCAACGTCACCAGCTGTTTGGAGCAGGTGCTTTGATACTCTTTTGTTGTTTGAAAGTGCTGGCGTGCATCTTCTTTAGGAGTCCTAACTACAGGTTCAGTAGCGTGGGTTGGATGAGTCGGTTGGAGTCCTAAGGTTGCTCAAGAGGAAGAAGAAAATCGCTTGAAATTATATGGTTTGTTGGTTCCCCAAACCAAAAGACGGCTATTAGACAGAAAGAACTAACAGATGAAGACTATGTATTAAGAGATGGTAGTGTACCAGTACATTTGTTGAAAATCATATTCGTATCTGGCAGTGTTTAGGATTGCACCTCACTATTTTCCACTGCTAATCCGATATTTAGTTTCTAGATTTATTGATGAAAATGGCATTATAACTACATAGACCCAGTGGCAGTGTCTTTTACAAAATAAATCTGTTTTATGATGTTCCAGCAAATCGCAACAGTTGGAAAGCTATAACCTATGAAGGTTGATCATTCTTGCCTGAAAAAACAATGAAGCAATTGTCAGATTTTTGATAGAAGTGACATATCATTTTTAAAGAAGCTACAACAAAACACTACATTTTCAAAGATGTATTTCACCAATACATTTATAACTTAATTGTATATTTTGTATTGTTCTTGTTATTGAAATAGTTAAATTAAATACTGTTTGCATTGGGGTTTAAGGTGTGCCACCCATCTTTCCCTTAATGGTTCTGCAACCTTTTATTTTCTATATCAGCCAACACATAATGTACAGGGTCATCATGAAGGTAGAGCTACTGAGCTGTGGGCCTTGAGTCGCTGCCTTTACTGTAAATCAATCTGTAAACAGGCTGATGAATGCGTAATTCTACTTTTACTGGAAAGGTGCACTAACACAAAGGAAGAAGTTAATCAGCAGTTGAGTTTAGCTTGTACAGCAAAGCAAATTTAAGGGTTCTTGTTGAAATGACGTGTAAAAAAAATGTGCTAGCAAGTGTGTCAATATATTTAAAAACAAGCTTTGCAGCCGTTCAGAGTAGCTCTCTCTGACTCTCAGTAGGCCAAATGGATACA